TAGATGGGATCACAGGGCTAACTTTGCGACGTGCTAAATAACACCTTAGGAACTATTACCGTCAACATTCAAATTCATTACATGGAGGAGATTGTTGTAGAAGAGAACGTGCTGATGATGAAGATAAAAGCAAATATAACGAAGCTGTTCGCAATGCCAAAGACCAGTACGGTACAAAATTAGGCACAGGGTACTGGCGATCGGTCTTTCTAGACGCACACCAGGCAAGTCGAAGGGAACTTATCAAAGAGCTTTCATCTACTGAAGTGCCAGGATGGAAGAATTGTAATCGACTCCAAGGCTAAAACGGAAGTTGTTGCCTTGATCTTTGCTGTCAACTGCACTATGGACGTCCTCCTTAGCACCCGAGTGCCATTGATTCCCTGGGCTCTCTACACTACGCGGGAAGACGAGTGCTCGACATCAACGAGGCCTCTGATCCTGACTTGATTCCTTCTGTTATACCTGTATGTGCAGTGGAGCTAATCTAGTTCATTTACGTCTCTTCCCGATATCTTACAAATCTGGTACCTTCCCAGATAATTCGAAATTTGCTCATGTCCAGCTTGCCCCAAAAAAAGTAAGGCCGACTCTTATAGCTACACACCTATAGGACTGCTTTCTGTCAACAAGGTGGGCGAGTAGTGCATGAATAGGGAGCTCCTAGGGTATCTCGAACATCACGGCATGGTTAGCGACAAGCAGTAATGTTCTTGCCTTAACTGAATCGTGGAGACTTGCACCCACGCATTGCAACAAAAACACCGTCTAAAATGTACTGTATTACTCTTACACTAATTTATAACAACCCTTGCAATTAATTTTTTACAAACATGTGACCATGTCGACAGACGATTTATTACATACTTATGACTATCCCGAGACGTGGCTGACTCATCATCCACTTCGGTCTGTCTGTGACTCTGACTGACTGCTTGTGTGCTGCCTGTTATTTGGTGAATAGTCGGTTCCCGCTTTTATTAGATAAGGCTCAATTCTTCTTCTAAGCTGGTAGATGACGATCGATTCCTCTTGAAACGTGTCAAATGTTCGCGTTGGAGCCGCGAACGCTCCCGAACGCAAACGCGCTCCACACTCGGTGGCGTAATTCTGGTTGCCTAAGCGACAAACTTGCAAGGGCGTCTCATCGGTGCCCCCAAAGCTCTAGCTCACCAAGGCGCTACAGTATCGCAGTTCCCGCTCTTGGCACAAGGGTATTCAATTTTCAATCGCCGAATAATGGAAATCTGAACTCACGGATTTATCGATCAGACTAAGATATTTAAAAGCAACCATGGGCATCTCCGCAATAAAAGAACAGAAGCAGAAATAGAAGGATTGGTAACCCGAGCTACGTACGTTTCTGCTTATTGGCTTCATCAGAAACGTACGTCGCTCGGGTTACCAATCCTTCTATTTCTACTTTCATTCCTTTATTGCGATATGCTCACGATTTTCCTTTGTTTTTCATCTAAGTTTCCTCAAAACTACTTGTTTCCTTCAATAAGATATCTGCAATGCGTAACAAAAACAATGTTAGAACCAAACTTCAATGGCTGGGGAACATCCGCGCTGACATTATGGGATGAGACGAAGAACCCGTCAAGTCAACCACAGACGGACATGAAACTATGAAGCTATAATCTTTTAGTTGCTTGGATCTGAATGTTTTATGTCTAAGTTATTCAGTGTATAACGAGAATAGCGGAAAGATTGAAGAACAAACAACTGTAACTGTGAAATTCAGATAACAATTATTATGAAACGTCGGAGAGAGTATACAAGTCATTAACGCTGTTTTATCCCCATTTGAAGGCTGGTGTAATAAAGTGAGCAAGAAGGAGTTCGCATAACTCCCTGATACAATTTCCGCACTAAATACTGGGGCGAATTTAAAATTCTAATTTAAACGGCGCAAGAGGGCAGACTGCTGAAGCAATGAAGAGGTAGGTTTGTTCCTGGAGGCGGTGCCAATATCAGTAGGCATATGCAGATAGTGTGAGGAAAATTGGAAAAGCTTTTTCTAATACGCTTCATGACATTTTGATTGATGTTGAATCATCTGGTGAATGGGCCGAAACACCACTTCTCTGGCTATATTATACAGGGTGGTAATAAAGCATCTGTTTACACTCCAAGAGGACATCACTTGAATCTTTCTACCGGGAAGCATTTTAACACTATGGTATAGGATTCGGCACCAGCCTTAATTTTATTGGTCAATTTCAATTTATTCAACCAATAACAAGCCGGGTGCCGAAATCACTACCGGAATGTTAAACAGTGCTGAGCATGGGGTCAGAATGTTATCAATTTAAATTTAAATTTACTTACCTTCCGCTAAAAATACGTAAGATAATACGCACGTTGTTTCCTATTACGATATTTAATGATTTTAAAATTAATAATTTGGTTTAGCAATAAGAAAAATTACATGAAAAATTTATATATATTTATATAGGTGAAAAATTAAAGCTTCCGCCTTTTGTTGGGTACATGGGTACACAAAATGGTGGGCGTGTGCAATCATCAAGTGGCTTCACGATGTAATGTTTAACTTTCAATTTTTTTAAAATTTTTTAATCTGTTTTTAACTTGTTCTTGTCATACAGCTGTGTGTATTTTATATAATTTTGACCATTGTACCATTTATCCAGCTTTCACCATGTTACTGGGTGTTTCCCTCATCCTTAACGTAAAAAACAATTAACAACATCCTCACATACTACTCTCCTGATGATGATGTCAAAGACCATTGAAAGCTAGAGAGAATAAAAAAAGTATAAAGAGTCCTCCTTGCTTAAATTTTGTCGAAGTACCCAACAAAAGGCGGAAGCTTTAATTTTTCACCTAACTGGTCTAGACGACAATGACCACGTCTCAAGTTATATTTATATATATATATATATATATATATTAGTAGAAGCAGTTTATTGATAACATTCTGACACTGTTTTCAGCACTGTTTAACATTCCGGTAGTGATTTCGGCACCCAGCTTGTTATTGGTTAAATAAATTGAAATTGACCAATAAAATTAAGGCTGGTGCCGAATCCTATACCATAGTGTTAAAATGCTACCGGGAAATGTTCATATGAACCGAGATCCGAGAATACGCAGACAACTTTTTTGAAATATCGATCTTTCGTAAGAATCTCAGTAATACTTCAAGCGGCTTTCTTAAAAGAGGAAGGGCGTCGTTATTCCAACATATTTGACAAAAAATTCAACAAAATGATATTCCTTTTATTGTTTTGAGTTCTTATCAACTAATATTTACATACTTTTTATCAATGTTTGGAACCGAATGGGAAGACTAGAATTCAATGGCTCTATAAGATCTGGAATATGATTAATATGGACAAATAAATGACGATCACACAATTTGACAACACAGGCTTGTTTCCTTCTACTTTATTCTGAGAAAAAAGTTAGCTGTAAACAGGTAAAGCAAACGGATCAAGTCAGTCAAACAGTCACATACAATTGGTCCGTAGATATATTTTAGTGCCCTACAGCTAGTACCGACCATCTGGCAACGTCGACCCTCCTCACCACTCATCAGAATGGGCAGCATGAGTCGGAAATGATCAGAAGCCTAAAGATGATAAAAAATGGAGTTTGGGTAATTTTTTTTTTTCATTATTTTTCCTCAGCTCCTCGTCCACTGAACCGATTTTCAATAACTAGCTTTACCGTCCTTGGCATAGTAGTAACCTAGCGCAAAAATTTTATCGAAATAGCAGTACTCCTCACGACGAGCCAAGAATTAGGGGACAGACTAGTGACAGACAGACAGATCGAGGGAAATGATTGACAAAGTTTTTGGTGTCATGTAACATCCAAAAAGCATAATATCTATTTTGAAAAATTTTCGTGACTAAAATACTTCCTCGCCAGTAGCGTAAGAAGCAAAAATTGCATTAAAAACGTTGTACTTAACAAAATAGAGTGTTTAGTTAATATCTTAATTTTGAGATAATATTACTAGAATACCTCAAAATTGAGTCAAAATGGACTTACGACTGTTTACCTCTCAGCTACTGATATAAAATTTAAACCAATTAAAAAATGATCTCAAATAACTGCAATACGAACTAGCTTCCAACTTGGGAATCGATGTATGTACTGAATTTTAGGAAGACAATCAGTCGTAAGTACATGAAAAAAGCTCTATTGTGTTTAGTGGCAGTAAATCAAAAATAGGTAAAGGCCAACGTGAACCATTGCCTTGCTTGGGATGGGCCATTGTCACATTCCACATTAATGCGTTAATGGCCTATGATGCATATATGCAAATTAAGCAACAGGACAAAAACACATCCTAGATTTACACTAAGAGTTACTCAACTTTCTTATAGAAATGAAAACGATGAATATTCTAAACGTGGCACAGGGCTCCCGCAAATTTTCACTCCACTTTTCAACTTTTCGGGAAGATAAAATTACATAAAACAAACGAAACGCCCACATTACTACCTATTTGTTGGAGCTTGTGAAACTAATCTAACCTAGAAATATGTATTTTTAGCGTCACCAGCCATCGCGGGCCTTGACGTGAAATTTTCTTAATTCACATTATTATTATGTATTTCACCGTTTACAGTGAAAACTATATTGTAACTTTTCTGTGAGCTTATGCAGAAATAATCGTTTACGAATTAAATATACCTAACGACTGGATCGTCACATTATCAAGTGATTTTACGCTATTAGTATTGTAGAAACAAAAAAACATTGTACCTATATTAGATGAAAATTTAGAAAGCATACAATGTGATTTTACACGCATTTCTAGCGTTTGAAAGAATAAATGTAAAATGGGAAAGGTCTTGGGTCCATAAAAATGCATGAACAAAATAGAAGTATGTTTCTCAACGATATGTCGAAAGTGTACATACGTATTAGGTCTTTAAATATATTGTGAATCCTTAATTTGAGAGACATGTCATATGTTGTCCGAAATGCCTGGATTTTAAGTATTCGAAGTGGAGATGCACCCTCTTGCGTATCTGTTGTAGTGGTGACGGTTCACGAGATACTCAATCATTTCTAGATTGTGGGCAGTTTTCCGTTGGCTGAGGTATTATATTTTTGAGATGGTATAATTTTTCAAACAGCTTCGCAAGTGGTTCAGCGAACACAGCTGCTGGGTAGTGATGAGGAGCAATGAGGGATCGCTAGATGGCCATTATCGCAGCGAAATGGAACGCTGCCGGGTCGCAGGCGGCGGGAAAACAATTGAATGTCGGCGTAGGCGACGCGACGCGCGACAGACTGGCGGCGGCAGCGGCACGAAGTGGCGTCCGAGGTTGATGCATTTTTAATTTCAAGCACTGCTGATCAACCTTAATTGTACTCAAGAAAAATGTTTTAAGGAACATTTCCATTGCTACGAAAGACAATTCGGTACTGTTGCGTCTTGTAGAACTTCCGATTTCACTGTTTTTTCTCTTAAAACTTTTAGAGGGTAGTCAACAAAAATTGATGAAGTACGCTTTTCATGAAAATGTTTTCCTAGAAACACTGTATTTTTAGCTGTTCTTTCCTTCATTATTTCCACCACCATCTATCTGCCATATGACGTAGACGTCTGTTCATATGTCATACACTAATAAACTTTCTCTTCCTAAGTTTCGTTTATCTTTATTTAGAAAATCTTTTTCATATAATGCTGTTACTATATACAATAGTATCGATGACGCGCTTAAGTTTAGTTCTGTACCGATGTTTAAAGTCCTGGTAATGCAATTTTATTACAATAGTCAATGTAATGGATAGTTCAATAGTTTTTGATTATATACTCTTCGCTTTGCGGTTTTGTGTCTTAGGCTTTTGTTTATTTTCATTCAAATTATCTCATATTTTCTATGCTATTTTGTATTTAATCACTTCTGATGATTGCATTTTATGTATTATCTGTGGCTTTCTTCATTGTTAGCTTTTATTTAGGGTTAAGTAGAGTAGCTTAGGCTAGACTTCGCCCTGTTGCAGATTTCTTCTTTCTAACAATACTCAATAAAGACATAATAATAATATATGAGAGGCGCTTGCCTGCGGTGTTGCCGGATTGGGCTCCGCATTTAGGGAAAAATATGAAAAGTGGAAAATTTATATACATGTATTAATTATTAATGAATCACAAAAACGAAAAACTGAAACAAACAACAGTAGCAAAATAAAAGGTGATTCCTAATAAGTATAAATCAAAAAATAACAGTAGTAATAGCATGTAATTATAAAAAACAAAAAATAACAAACAACGGCAAAAAAGCATTTCAAAGTGATCATAAAAAATAAAAAATAAAAACAGTAGTGAAACAAAAAAAACAATTCTATGTTGAATAAAAAGCAATTCTAAGTGACAACACAACACAAAAAGTAAAAAGAGTAGTAAAACGAAGAACAATGTCATACCATCTAAATTGATTTTTATTTTACTGTTTGTTATTTTTTGTTTTTTATAATTAAATGGAATTGTTTTTTATTTTACTGCGGTTTTTTACTTTTTGTTTTATACTTAGTAACAATCACTTTTAATTTCACTACTGTTGTTTGTTTCAGTTTTTTGTTTTTGTGTTTCATTAATTAATATAAATGTATATAAATTTTCCACTTTTCATATTTTTCCCTAAATACGGAGCCCAATCCGGCAACACTGCATGCGAGCGCCTCTCATATATGACATATCCACAGACGTCAACGTCATATGGTAGATGGCGGTGGAAATAATGGGGGAAATAACTGCTAAAAAATACAGTGTCTCGGGAAAAGCGTGCTTCATCCACACTTTTGATGATTTAAAATAATCAGACTACCCTCTATAAGTTTCAAGTGAAAAAACAGTGAAATCCGAAGTTCTACAGGACGCAACAGTACCGACAATTCAATCGACTTTATTGTAACAAATACAAATTGAATACAATTACAAATACCTAAGTCTGGCCTATGGCCATTCATACTTAACCACACGATGTGATAAAAAATATCAATTTTCCTATAACCTCAATGATCATTGGTTCTCTGGTACAAAGTTCGCCTATTGATCCTTTGTGCACCTCTACCCTTTGGTCCGAAGGCATTAGATCTCACTCTATACTAGGCCCAGATGAGGCCTAGCCTCGAGTATTGCTCACACATTTGGGATGCTGCTAACCCGACTACATTATTTATGCTCGATTCTGTCCAAAGGAGGGCTGTCCGACTGATCGATGACTCTTCTCTAACAGACAGTCTCGGGACCCTTTCGCACCGGCGGGCCGTCGGCGATCTAGCTCTCTTCTACCGCTACAAAAACGGGCTTTGCTCCTCAGAGCTCTCTTCCATGATGCCGAGGCGCGATGTGCCTGCCAGACAAACTCGCCTGACTTTGGCCTCCCATCCTAGCCGTGTCGAACTTCGTACATCAAGAACTGGCCGATACGACCGCTCCTTTGTCCCAAGGGCCGAGATTGTGGAACAATCTACAAGAGGAAGCTTTTCTCATATCCACTAGCCTGGGGCAGTTCAAAAATCGGATTAACAGACTTTCTTTCGGATCATCATAGCAGCCGCGGTGTACCGGCATTTAGGCTTCTGCCTGCGCGGCTGCTTCAGTATAAAAAAATCTCAGTATAGACTGCCTAGAACACCTCATCGGTCCAAAAGTAAAACAAGCACAATTGTTATGAGTGATTTGAATTAGGTTTTCGGTATAGTTGCCTAAACATACAGATATGACCAAGGATTCACATATTTTCTTACGTAACTTGAAATTTAGTAGATATTTGCTTGCAATTAGAGTACGTAGATAAGTTCTGTTATCTTTTAACATGTTCCATGAATCTTGACCTTGGGTCAAAAACAACACCAAGTATTTTTTTAGATTCGGAGAACTGTAAGTTTTGGTTACTTATGTGGACCTTCAGAATGGACGTGAAGTCATCTTTTTTTTTCTGGGCACAAAAGAATAGCATTTTAGACTTTTGATGATTAACAAATAGAATATATTGGATTAAATTATTAACATCATTTGATGATCTAACAATCGTGGATCGTCTGCGAAAGATTGGATATGTGAATTATCAAGGGATTTGTTTAGTTAAAGGTACATATCAGAAATAATAACGGTCCTAACACAGCGCCTTGAGGCACGCCTGAGGGAGTTGTAGTCACATGAGAAAATGTTTGATCAATGCAAATACATTGAGTCCTTTGATCAAGGTAACTTGTCAAAAATGAAATAGCTAAGCTACGAATTCCTACGTAATTTAATTTAGATAACAGTAATTCATGATTCATGCTGTTGAAAGCTTTCTAAAAATCTTTAAAAATTAACGTTAATGCAATGTTCTTATCTGAGGCCCCTATAATATTATCCTGCAAATCGAGTAGCGCGTAGATTGTATTACAATTTTGTCTAAAGCCAGATTGGGTATCAGGACTTTTGTCTATTTTTCAAGATAAGACGTTAGTTGCAATTTTACCAGTTTCTCCAGCATTTTAGACAAAATTGGTAGTAATTTTATAAGACCTAAGTCGTTGAATTCAGTGTGTTTAAAAAACATAAATATGAAATCAAAGAGTTATATTGTTTACTTTTGCTACTGCCCTAATTATGGGTGGCGCTAGAATTTTCAATCCTTTTTGACGTCTCTGTAATGCTGGCTTTAATTTGGTATCTTTATGTATCGATTAACGAAACCCATTCGAAGCCACTCAATTAAAATAAGCATTAGAGAGGCTAAAAAGGGTTGAAAGTCCTAGCGTCATCTACGAGACAATATGCCATATTCATAAAAGAGAAGCATATCCTCCGAAGCATAATGTAAAAGTATAAGGTCTTCGGACAAAACGGTAGAAGTATGAGCATATCCTTGTTTTCATATTCCTTATACTCGCGAGGATATCCTCCAAGAAGAAGTAGAAGGTTCACTGATATTTGTATCGTGAGCGACATGACTTGACTTGTTCCAGCTTGTAGTTGACGTCGGAGTTCGTTCACTCAGCATCACTGACAGTTGTACTCCGCTCCGTATTTTTACTGGATACAGTTTTTTTATCAAATTAATAAGCATGTCATCCTCAAGTGATGAGGAAACTATAGAAAATAATGGCAACGACGTGCATTTCATCGCAGATGAAATTGCCATTGCTCCCATTATTTTGCAAAAGTCACAAGTTCCAAAAATAAAAATGAGAAAGGAGGATGCCTTGAAGAAGATGTTGGAAAAATACGAATCAACATTCGGTAAACCATTAGATACTAAAGGCTTATTAAAAAAAAATCAACAACATGAAATCAAGATTGAAGAAAAAAACAGATCTAAAAAAAACTGGTAATAAAGCAATTAAATTGTTAGATTGGGAAAGGAAGTTGCTGAGAGCTATGGAAGGTGACTGTAATCCTACAATTGGGAAAATTAGAAGTGCCATTCAGGTTGGTAGTGTTCAAGAAGAAGGAAGTGAACTATATACCTAGCGCAGTTAGCAAACAGTTAGTATTACAGCGCCAGCAATTCAGAAGACATTGTCACCAAAAAGAAAATTAGCAACAGAGAAATACGAAACTGAGGAAACCAAAGGGTTAACTACAAAAGAACTGCATCGTGCTAATACAGCAGTACCAAACAAGTATTTTACAACAATAAAACGAAATTAGAAAAATGCACCGTCAGAAGCCACCTGTAACTTTTGATGTTCACGAAAATAAAACTCATTATAACTTATAACTATACTTTAATCAATAAAACTATTTATTATAATATTCAAGTTTCTTCTTATTTGTTGACCTAGTTGGCGGAGAGTTCGTCATTCTCATGATTTCCTTCATCGTCATCTGGGTCTTGTTCAGCTAACTCAAAGTCAGGATCGCCCAAGCTCTTCGCAACATTATGGAGTACAATACAAGCAATAATCATTTTCGGCACATTTTCCAACTTTACGCGGCAAACATACTGTAGGATAGGAAATCGGCGTTTCAGTTGGCCGAAACAGCATTCAATTATAAGTCTTTCTTGTTTTAAAAGCTTATTATAATTTATTTCTGCAGCTGGAGTAGGATTTCTGAAGGGAGTCATAAGGCATGGCTGAATACCATAACCGTCATCGCCAAGTAGTACAACATTTGCTTTATTTATTAGTTGTGATCTAGTGTGTGAATTTCTCCATATTCTGGAATCATGCACTGATCCAGGCCCACTGACATCAACACTTGTGAACATCTCTCTGGCATCACAAGTCACAAGTGGCTTGCACATTTAAAGTAGGTTTCCCTTTTCGGTTGATATACTCATCTATCCGCTTGGCCTCCATCTGTTCATAGTTGGTAGTTGGAAACTTTATCCATTCGTTCGACTGTGCAACTATGCTGTTCACAACTCTATCCACAGTCCGAGACACCGTTGCTTGACTAACATCAAGTTCCTGACCAATACCTTGTTGATATCCAGGGTCACCGAGATAGCGTAGACATATCTTCATTTTATGAATACATGAAAGTGCTCATCCTGGAGTTTCTTCATTATCTTCTAAAAATCTGTCCGCAAGCCATTGTACATTTGCTTCGTCGACCGAAGTCACGACCAAGTGAAGGTAAACGAGGTTTGTACGTTTTAACATCCCTAACATCCACAATTTCCGCCATCATCGTTTGACCACCTTTCATTACGAAGTTGAGTCTGCTACTGACCACACTCAGAATTTTTGATGGATATGCTTCTTATGCCAAGTATAATGTGAAGATTATGAATAGCCTACTTAGGTATGTCACTGCTTTGAAGGATATGCTTATACTCAAAAAGCAAAAGCATTCGCTTCAAATTATTATAAATACCATCTGGAGGATTTCCTTCAAAATTTGCAAGTACAAGGATATCCTTTGTTTTATGAATACGGCTCAATAGAAGAACCAAACACACTACTTCCAAAGTATATGGTTGGCTATTTTCAGGTAAGCTATGTTAATATATGGTTACAGCTAAATCTAGGCCTTATTACATAATCACCTTCTACCAGCACCAGCTGCCTCTACATGAAATCTCTGAACAGGTGACATGCAAATATAACGCATATCCAATGAAGCGCAACTACGTTTGCTCCGTGCGGCAATCCCATCGAGCTTATTGAAAAAGTTGCGATGATAAGGAGCTCAAGAAAACCGAGGAAGTGAAACGTGGTGCATGGGCGCTATGGCGATTGTGAATTGATGCGAATTGCGATGCATTCAACGACCGAATGGCAGCTCGTTTAATTTTCGCACGATCCACATACGTGCATACACGTTCTCTATGTTCTAAATTCAAAGCCGAAGCCGTTCTCCTCTTTCTGTGGATGCTCGATTACAGGATGGACCAGTTACTACTTTTAATCGTTCGAAAGTATGTATGTACATTGTACAAGGTTAGTATCGGAATTGTCATTAAGAAAGAAATTTAGTTGCTTTACAAATAGACTCTGGTCGTGTATAAACTAAACACTCGTTATAAAAAACAAAAATAAACATAAACAATACATAAAATTTCCCAAACAACGAAAATATACATACAGAGTGTCGTAAAAATCTTGGAGCAAACGAAAGATGGTGGTACGGGCTATTTGCAATCAGACAATCTATGTATGTTCTTATCAGATTGTGCAGGGTTTTTGAGTTATCGCCATTTTTAAGAAATTGTGAAAAATCTCTACTTATAAGACTACTATTTTTTCTGAAGTTGTTTTTTGTTATTTTTCAATCAGATTCACACCAGGTGTTCCCAAACGAATCGTCGCTGAAAAAAACCATGAGTGAAAATTTAGTCCAGTTAATGTAGGTACAGCAATCGACTAATCTGCAATTTTGTTTGTTGTCAAAAAGAATACAGCATGTTCAACAAGGCCTGTGCAAGAAAATTTAGTAGGAGGATAAAGTGTCCATAAAGATGAAAAGCTTCTTGATACTATGAACCTTCCAGAACACCTATTAGAGATAATCAGATATCCTAAATAGTTTCTGGGCAAAGTAGACAAAATGCTAAAGGTACCCTAAATCGTAAAATTCCCATTGCTTAAACTTGACCCGTTAAGTGCCATCAATGATCTTCCTTCCAAATAAGCCAAATTGCCATATGTGGTACTCAGAATAGCCAAATGAAATAGAAGCCAATGCATCCGCAACGCGTGACTGTTTGACCCTTTTTTTTCAAGATGACGAAGGACGCGCCGTCACGGCCATTGGTGTGCGCAATCGGAGCCTTTTGACTGACTATTTCTTTCCGGAAACCGATAAAAAGACTTGGATGGCGTGTGGTTCTAGCAAGACGGCGCGACCTGCCACACAAGCCACAAAACAATCGCTCTTCTTCAAGAACTGTTTGAAGCTGCGATTTAACTCTGTTGGATTATTTTTTGTGGGGAAGAGTAAAAGATAAATAATATGTAGATGCCCAGGTGGCGATTGAGCACTTGAAGTCCAATATTTATGAAGCCATTGTTGAGATAATGACTGTTAAATGTACTAAAAAATTGGGTCGACAGGATCGGCTACGCCGTGGCGCGCATATGAATGAAATTGTGTTTCCTCATTAACCGGAAGTATAGTACTCTCAAATAAAAAAAAAACCGTTTGGAAGAAGAACCCTGCGTTTTCATTTCAGCCATCGATTTAAAAATTAACCAACATATCGATCACCCTTTACATCAGCTTTCTGCGAAACATCGCGCATGCTGCTAGATTGCTCATTTTCAGTTAACTGTAGTACCACATCTTCAGCATCTACGCGGATTCTCCGCCTTTCTATTCTTACTGGTCTCCTGCTAAATAGGCACTATCTACACGAGTAAATGTACGATGGTCTGGAAAATTTGTTCCTCGGGAAAATTTTGATGTTCTTCACGTCGACCATTTCCATTGCCCAATCCATTAATGAACGGCACCTTGCATCAAGTCACATAAGTGAAATGCGTACCACATCATCCACGCATCCCTTTTGTAGCGCTCCTGGTGGTTGATATGATCTACCTATTTTTATTATCTATTGGTCAAGAAATATAACAGGATTTCCATAACCCAAAATCATGTGACGTCCGCCCTCCCGTACATTGATTGACTTTTCTTTCAATTTGAGGATTTTTCGTCCCTCAATTGTTTCCTCATTTTTTTTATACTTCAACTACCACGAAGGCCTAAGGCCTAAGCACCGATTGGGTACCGTGGGGCTATAGGGGGATACATGGGAAGGGGGGAATGCCACACGGACTCTGGGGAGGGAACACGTGTACATGCAACATGCACACATTCTGGCTCCGCCTACGAGATCCGCCGAGTGGTACCTCTGCGTTCGACAGTCAGAGACCATCTACCACCTACGCACAATCACAACATCCATAGCCAAGAGAAAAATTTCTCCTGGGATGGGACTCGAACCCGCACAGCGCACGGCGACTGATCAGGAGACCGAAGTATCTACTACTGCGGCCACCGCTGCTGCTGCCATATTCTAAAGCTAGAAGATCAACAACCGTAGTTAAAGGGTTACATAATCGGGTTTTCCGGATTTATGGTACCTCCAGCATTTTGTCTCCTTTGCGCAAAACTATTTAGGATTTTTGATTATCTAATAAGTGTTTTGAAAGGCCATGGTATCACTATGGGTACTATATTTGCCTACTAATTTTTTTTACAGGCCTCGATGAACATGATGTAATCTTGTTGGCAACAGACAAAATACATTAACCGGACAAAATTGTCGCTCATAGCTTTTTTTAGCGACACATCATTAGGAAACATATCCTGTGAAACTGATTCAAAAATAACGAAAGACAATATCAGAAAGAAATAGTAAAGTTTCAAAAGTTGGGATTATCCACAAATTCTTAAGAATGTCGATGACATATATGGTTTTTCTGGTTGCAAATGGCCACCCCTACCACTCCCTATCGTTTGCTTAATGAATTTTGAGATAAAATGTATCATGGAGAATCGTGTCATATGAAATAATAATTATACGCATCAGTAGTCGATAAATAAATCACATAAGTTACTCAAAAATATTCAGTAACGCTACAGAAAGAATTGTTGAACATAATGTCCTTACCGTGTGACTGACGTAGTCCGCAGCACGTAATTCCTTTTCTTTTAATGGAAAAAGCTTCAAGGTTTTCTTTGATGTAAATTGGGCACCTCTATATATATAAAGAGAGAACTGTCATTATCCCCAGTTACTTGAATAGCTCTTTACAAGAGTAACGCCGACATTTGAAAAACATTTTTTCGCAATGACAAATACTTCGATAATACGAGAGAAGTTCCCCCAGCAAACAATGTAATAGCTAAGCGTTGAATGAACATACGAGAAATAATGGAGCCTTAGAATACCGAAGAGTCGTGCGCCAACCGTGGTGAGTCTTCTGATATGGAATCACACGCATTTCTGTCGCGCAACAGCATAGTGTTTCTATACTCTGATCGCGCTACCACGGTACGACGTCTGCCGCTTTCCCTGTACTACCGGTAGGGCAGAGAAAGAATGTCTGTGGACATACTGCATCGACCTGTTAGTCTGACTTTTTCCTCAGAGTGTCTAGTTTATGCAGAACATATTCCTTTAGGTACTGGGTCAATAGTATTTTCCAGCATATCCAAATACAGTTCCCCGGTTAAAGTTTGTTCGATGAAGAGAGGCTCCACAATATGATTTTCCAATTTCCCAGCCCAAACGTTATTTTTTTGTGGATATTGAGTATGAGTTTCCCGGAAGACGTGAGGATTGGTGTCACTCCAATAACGACAATTTTGTCTATGCACATTACCGTTGAGGAAAAATGTACATTCACCACTAAAACAAATATTTTGGATATAGGTAGGATGCCGTGCAATGGTTTCCGTCATAGTCTCGCAGAATTCTGTTCTTCGATCAGGGTCATCTTCAGTTGGCTGATGTACCATTTGAATTTTATATGGGTGATGCTCATTCTTTTTTAAAAGTCTCCATACAGTAGAAGAACAAACCTCACATACATTCGCGATGGAGGAAGTAGACTGTTGGGGATTTACTATGATCTCACCAATTATTTGAACTTGTTTTTCTTCCGGGATGGTCGGATGACCTGGGGGCTTTTTGTTGTTTACACTACCAGTAGCTGTAAATTTAGATACAAGTTTCCTTAAATATTTTCTACAGATAGGACGATTCGGGAAACGATCATTAAAAATCCTTTCGGTCTCGTGAAAGTTACGCGTCGCACCATAAATAAAAATCGCTTCGATTTTTTCTTCCAATGGACGAGAATTGACCATTTTAAAAATAGTTCAAACAGTATCTAGCACTAAAACCGAAAACTAAATAAGAATATTTTCACTGTACAACGATGTTTGTTTTCGTACTGATATTCTTGTCACTGTCAACAAAAAATAACAAAACAAGTTTTTATCGCTGTTGCTGTGGATATGGCAGGGAATTACAATTATTTGTAGAGATATGCATGTTAGTTGGTTTGTGTTCAAGTAATTATTAAATGTACCACCATGTTGTAGTAGGTAATGATATTGAGTCTATATTGTAGG